TTCACTAAGCAGATAGAGCACTAAGATTGGCCCACCGTTATGGACCAATCACAGCTCTTTATGTGTTTGAAACCCCTCTAGAGAGCTGTGATTGGCTAGCCAGAGTCCTGGTAGGAGCTGCTGAGGTTCCAATGGAGCATGCCTAGACCAAACTTTGCAAAGCAAGAATTTGGTCTAGTTCACTAGGCTAAACCCCAACATCTTTCCAGGTCAAAGCAGGTTATATCCACAACATGAATCATAGGACCATATCAGCAGAGTGAAGGCACGTCACTCATTTACAATATCACAGTTCAGGGGGCTAGACGGCTGCCTGGACACACACACACACACACACACACACACACACACACACACACACACAGATACGCCTTGTAGAGCCTAGAATTGACTTCACATAATGAGACATAATCCAGACGTAATTCCATTCATTAACAAGTCTGATTATACTCCAGACAACACCCCCCGTTGAAATCAATTATACGGCATCAAGGGAAGCTGAGGAACGACCTGCACATTCAGATTTCCTTGACACATGCACATTTGCTGGGGTCTCGGCTGCAGGCCACTCGTCATCCTGCCCGTTGAAGCTCGAGGTTCATTTCTGCACGCAATCACCTCCGTGCCTTCCCTGAAATGAAAACGCACGCAGGGAAGCCTACGTTCCCCAGGCATTATTGGATGTGACACACAATCAAAGTGCTGGATGAGTTCTGATCTGGTGATTCTCTTGAGTACACCCACTCTTGTCTCCATTCCTTCACTTGAACGGTTCCTCCCCCCTTGGGAGAGCAGGTCCACCAGTAGATCTACCTTCTCGATGGCCTCTGTAGCCGTTTTCAGTCCGAACACTCCTCCCTTTCCTCTCCAAGCAGGAGGTAGGGTTTCCTGTTGCATCTGGGGAGACACCTCAGAGAGGTAAAGAGTTTTGCAACAGCAAATAAAATGAAAATCCTCTCACCACCAACACTGGGGTTTTAGCCTACTGCCATAAACCAGAGATCCTCAAGAAAACAACTCTCATTGCTCCTTGGGGGGGGGGGGCTGACAAGTCAGGCTCATCAAAACCCGCCAGTGGCACCGAGCAGGGCGGGGGGTCCAACCATCACCAGGGGACAACAAGGCCAGGTCCAGATCATGCTGCCAGCTCTTTCCTGGGATTTGCTACGCTTTCATCGCCACCTGCGACGCCTCATCCTCAACCCAGAATGATGAAAAATCCAACGCTGCACAACTGGCGGCGAGGGGCGGCACGAGAAGAGGAATTGGAGGTTTCCCCACCATCCACGAAGGTTGTTCCAAGCTGGTCAGCAGAGGATTGAAGCTCCAACAATCTCTCACACCTCCGGTTGGACGGGGGGGGGGGGGGGGGGGAATAATGGTTTAGCGAGCACAGTGACTCCAAGATACGGTTCCACGGCCTTCACCGGTCACAGTCCCGTCCAGGCTGGGATAGGGAGAAAGAGTTTCCATAGCGACGGCAGCTTTCCACATTTCTTCTTAGGGGGTAGTTTTCACTTCAGCCTCACAGGCTCAAGGGCACCAACACGAGTGCATCCCTCACAAAAAACGTCAGAAGTACCATAAAGGAAAAAGACATAGAGGAGACAGACAGCAAGCCACACACACCGGTGCCATCTTGTCCAACTAATCCAACTCATTTCAGACAGGTCCTGGGGGGTGCGTGGGAGTTCGTCCAACCAGTCTCACTTGTAAGTCGCTTTGGACAAAAGCGTCTGCTAAATACATGAACATGAACATGTGTTTTGTGGATTTTGAGACGGTGTTCGACCGCATCCCTCGGGGGGCCTGTGGGGGGTACTCCAGGATACCAGGCCCTCTGATACGGGCTTTTAGGTCCCTGTATGACCGGTGTCAGAGCTTGGTCCACATAGCCGGCAGTAAGTCGGGCTCGTTCCCAGTGAGAGTTGGACTTCGCCAAGGCTGCCCTTTGTCACCGATTCTGTTCATAACCTTTATGGACGGGATTTCTAGGTGCAGCCGTGGTGTGGAGCGATCTGTTTTGGTGGCCGAAGGATTGAGTCTTGAGTTTTTTGTAGATGATGTGGTGCTGTTGGCTTCCTCAGAACGTGATCTCCAGCTCTCACTGGAGAGTCAGTTCCTCTAAATCTGAGACCATGGTCTTGAGTCAAAAGGGTAGAACGCCTTCTCCGGGTCAGGGATGAGGTCCTGCCCCAAGTGGAGGAGTTTAAGTATCTCTGGGTCTTGTTCACGAGTGAGGGAAAGATGGAACGCGGGATCGACAGGCAGATTGGCGCTGCGTCTGCAGTGATGGGGGCGTTGTACCGGCCTGTCGTGGTGGTCGTTACCCTCACCTATGGGCATGAGCATTGGGTAGTGACGGAAAGAACGAGATCGCGGATACAAGCGGCCGAGAGCGCAGGGTGGCTGGGCTCTCCCTTAGAGATAGGGTGAGGATCTCGGTCATCCGGGAGGGGCTCGGAGTAGACCCGCTGCTCCTCCACATCGAGAGGAGCCAGTTGAGGTGGCTCGGGCATCTGGTCAGGATGCCTCCTGGACGCCTCCCTGGTGAGGTTTTCCGGGCACGTCCAACCGGGAGGAGACCTAAAGGTAGACCCAGGACACGGTGGAGGGACTATGTCTCTCACCTGGCCAGGGAACACCTTGGGATTCCCCCGGAGGAGCTGGCCCAAGTGGCTGGGGAGAGGGAAGTCTGGGCCTCTCGCCTTAGGCTACTGCCCCCGCGACTCGACTCCGGATAAGCGGATGAAAATGGATGGATGGATGGATGGATGGATGGATGGATGAAAATGGATGGATGGATGGATGGATGGTTATTTAAAGTGAACACATTTTACTGGACAAAAATAAACAGTTTCATGTGTCATTTGCAGAAACGCTGCAGGTTACATGTAAATAAGTACGTGTTCCAGAAAGTCTTGTTCTTCTGCTCCGGAACGGTCATGTGTCCTCGAGCATGTCCAAGGCTGACTGCTAATGAAGTTTCTTTTGGGGCGGGGTCAGCTAATGTCAGACATGTTTTCATGTAGAGTTCATCTTCATGTTCAGGCCGCTTCACAAGAGCAAGAAACAAGAAATAACTGTCAATGTTTCAAGTATTTTTAATATGAAACTAAACATTTAACACATTTAAGGCCAGTTAAACATTTCAAAACAAGACAAGTCTGTCGGGAACGTCTTCCTTGTGGTGAGAGAACTTAGTAAAGTCAAAAAGATGAATGCAAGTGCAGCTAAAGTGAATCAGAAAGGAAAATAAACACAACATGTTTCTATAAAAGCACAAATACTTCACATGTAGTGCTGTAGTCATGCAGAGCAGCTATGTGCACACACACACACACACACACACACACACACACACACACACACACACACACACACACACACACACACACACACACACACACACACACACACACACACACACACACACACACACACACACACACACATTTTAGCAGACCTGCCTACCTGTACACATTTTGCATAGCCAGTCAGGGGCGGATTAAGGACTGAAGAAGATCCGGGGCTTAACACGCGTGTGCGCACGCGCACACACACACACACACACACACACACACACACACACACACACACACACACACACACACGTGGCACGTACTAGTCAACATATATATATATATATATATATATATATATATATATATATATATATATATATATATATCTTGTACCACATAATGTTTAATCTGAAGCTACATATGAAGCATATTCAGGGCAGAGTATTGTTCCTGTTAGTGTTTAGTGTGAAATGATAGTAAATATTCCCGTTCTTTCTCCAACAACTTTACCTGATAGTAAGCTAACTTTAGGCAAACCAGCAGCACAACAAATATTTTCTAATAAGACTCACAAACCTGAGTCAGCACCAGTCTCATCAAAGCTGGGGTTCTGTCGCCGTACTTTTGGTCTAAAACACGTCCTTATGTCCATCTTCACTCATGCGTTTCAGGCAGAGAGTGCAGAAGAAGCCGGCTGCTGAAGGGCTTCTTCTTCAGTGGTGGAGGCTCAGGCAGGCTGTATACAAACTACTGCCAGCTGCTCCCCCTCTGTTGGACTTTGGTACTGCATGTTACTTCCACATTTGAGATCCGGGGCTTCAGCCCAAGTAGCCGGGCCTAACGCCGCCCCTGTAGCCAGTACCCAGTTTGGCATCTATTTACGCTGGTACGACTCACCCCTTTAAACTACGCAGAAAGCTGAGGATACGTGTGGTAGTCATGTCTGACAACACGACTCAGCGGCGTGGTGAACACGTTTAAGCCAATCATCAGAGAAAAACAATTCAGCCTAACCTACAGTATAGTGTAAAACCCCGCCCCCCTCCTCCCTGCTTCGTCCTGCCCTCTGCTCCTCTCTCCCTCCGGTTCGCCACTCGCTGCTGTTCTGATAAGGTAAACTCTGTGTGTGTGTGTGTGTGTGTGTGTGTGTGTGTGTGTGTGTGTGTGTGTGTGTGTGTGTGTGTGTGTGTGTGTGTGTGTGTGTGTGTGTGTGTGTGTGTGTGTGCATTTATAGGTTTTTGTGGACAAATTTGAACTTTTACCTGTAGTGTGGACATTATTACACTGTGGGGACATCTGGCTGGTCCACACCATGACAAAATACCCTGAAGCAGACTTGCCAACCTCGTCAAAATTTTTTTGAGTACCACTTGTGCGTCATTTTTTCCACAAACTTTTGCAACTTCATTGCTTTTCACGCTGTAATCTCCCCATTGACTGGATGGAAAATTTCACACACACACACACACACACACACACACACACACACACACACACACACACACACACACACACACACACACACACACACACACACACACACACACACACACACACACTTGTCCACAGTTCTTATTTTGACTAGTAAGGTTATAGACGTTTTTACAGGTTGACCTGACTCCAAAGTATCGTGTATTTTAATATGACACAGTAAAACTCTAAAGTTTCCTGATATAATATTTGTGCTTATTCAAGTTCAAATTCAAAGATACTTTATTAATCCCAGAGGGAAATTAGAGTTTCAGTACACACAATTCAGAGGTCAGACATACATACATACACACATGACAGGAGTTGGTGACTGTGGTCATTCGCAACCCGAGTCGCGCTACCTTAATAGAGATCAGAGGTTTACATGAGGATTGGTTCAGGTGGAGGGAAAAACGATACTTCAGAGTTACCCTCCACCGGGAGGGCAGCTTTGCTCTGCTAAAAACACCTCAGACAGAAATGCAACAGACTTCAGACATTACACAACATAAGTGTCCACTAGGTGGGGAGGTAGGGTTGGGGACTCTCCTCACATCAGTGCATGCAGCCGCGATGAGCAGCGCTCGTCACCTCCGATTGGACAGGGGAAGGAGGTAATTGGGTTAGGGAGCACAGTGAAATGATTCAACGGCCTTCACCGGTCGCAGTCCTGTCCATTAGGACAACCGCGTCGACACGCCATGGAAGGAGCCTTACGTCTTCCTTTTGAGAAGTTGAACTTAGTGTTTCATGTTCCGAACTACGTTACTACGCTCCGGACCTGGACTTCAAGATACTCATCAACATAAGACTGAAACCATCCTGACCAACGGAAGAGGACTCTGACTTTCAAACCTACTCTCCAACCGGGACCCTCAGTCCACGGACGAGCCCTCTGATGAAGAACGCCTGGTCTGCCTCAGCTCGGCCATGGTGAGAGCTGCGTAATCACACCTTCATTTTCCCTCCTTCACTGAAAGACTCGTCTGCACCTTGGAGCTTTATTCTAAATTCACCTGATGTTTCCATACACCGAACTGGTGTTGTCTGTGTATTATATGGTTTACTAACCCTTCCCAATCTCCTTACAGGAACTGCCATAAGTCGTAGGATTATGCATCACAGTAAATTCATGTCGGTATGTATGGAATAGCTTCTTAAGGTTATAACTGTGTTGGTTTAGCTGATTCTATTCTCTGTCCCTGTGAACTGCTGTAAGATAGTATTGTCAGTTGTGTTGACTTTTTGTGTTTATTATTCATCTGTTCTTATTATTCATCTGTTCTTATTATTCATCTGTTCTTATTATTCATCTGTTCTTATTATTCATCTGTTCTTATTATTTAGCTGATTTTGGTATGGAATGGTTCTTTGGACAAGCTAACAGGATTGAGATTACGATCCACAGTAGACGTGTGATTGCAGCGCCTCGTGCTGTGTTTGTCTTATCGTGTTGATTCTGAACCTTTCATATCTGATGGTGGTGTTTTTACTTTACTTATTATTTTTCTTGTTTTGATGCTCATCGTTTTTGACTTCAGTTAATTGCTTAGTATGAGGATTGCTGTATAGTCACTGACACTAGTCAGTGACTTGATGCAATTTGCTGGGTTCCTTATATAGGAAACATTATTTCTGATTGGCTTAATGAACTGACCTGGACTGGAGTGTTTATTATGTGAAGTGCCTTGAGACGACTCTTGTCGTGATTTGGCGCTTTATAAATAAACTTGAATTGAATTGAATTGAATTGAATTAACCTGTTGGCCCTCATGACTACTGAGATGATCGCCTTTCCTGGTTTACCCCTCTTCTATTGCTTGATTTGTGATTCATGTAGCTTTCATAGTGACAAGTTAGAGAAGTGACACACACACACACACACACACACACACACACACACACACACACACACACACACACACACAATCTCTCCCTCTCTATAAATAAACTCTGTGACCAGATGTTCGGTGCATCTGCCGCAGTTATAACTGTTTGACTTGTTCATTGTCTTCTTTTCTCTCCGACTACAGGAAATGGGTTATTGATCAAATCCATGACGACCTCCGGTTGGACGGGGGGAGAGAGATAATGGGTTAGAGAGCACAGTGACTCCTAAATACGGTTCCACAGCCTTCACCGGTCACAGTCCCGCCCAGGCTGGGATAGGGAGAAAGGGTTTCCATGGCGACGGCAGCATTCCACATTTCTTCTGAGGGGGTAGTTTTCACTTCAGCCTCACAGGCTCAAGGGCACCAGATTCAGATAAGGATTGTTTTGGGGACAGACGGAGATCATTTCCTCTCTGCATTAGAGTTCTGTTGGCCTTCAACCCCTCTAGACCCAATAATGGCGTAATGAATCCATCCCAATCCGTGCTGTCCCGTCCACTCGCTCCTTGATGGAATCCACCTTCTGTGCCAGAGTCTGAATCTCAGCCAAAGCTCCAAGCTTATCTCATCCAGACACCAACACCACGAATATCCAGACGTCTTCAGAATCCTCTACAGACAGCTGAGAGGCAGATCAGGTCCCACTGTTCCCAGGAGTCCATGACATGCCCAGCTGGCTCTGTCCCAGAGGGGCACCCGGGAGCCCCTTCTCCCGTTCTCATCGTTGGAAAAATATTGTCAATCATGTTGAGAGACCAGCTGACCAGATCCATTTTTAATCATTTCCAGTTTCCAGAAAAAACGCAGAAAGCGCCGAGCACAGACAGACAAAGAGCCTTGGGACGAGGAGGGAGGGAGAGGAGAAAAGCGTCTGTACTCTCCAAGAGCCGGAAGAAGAAGTCGGATGTGGAACAGGGTTAGGGTTAGTTCTCCTGTGAGAACATTCCCGACCATCCCACACACATGGATGTGTCACCTGAAGCTTACAGACGCTCCATGAAGAGCTGCGTTGGGAACAGGACGATCTTTTCTCTGTCTGAGTAGACGTGCGTTGCTCACAGTGGCTGTTTCTCTGTGTCTTCATAACATCATCAGGCTCAAGTCCCATCAGTCATCACACACTCGGTGCGTTTCCACGCACATCAGACGCCGGTCAGTGCGCTCGTGACCGCGCTGACTGGAGGCATTCATCTCTGCATGTGACCCATCCCCGTGGGGAGCTGCGAGCTACAGCTGTGGCTGCGCTCGGGAACCATTAGGTACTTTAACCCCCCAGTCCAGCCCAGGGAGGCGTTGGGTCCCATCTGTTCTTCCCAGCTGGAAACCAGTCTGTGTTTTTCAAGCTTTATTTCTCTGAAGCAACCATTCTTCAAGAAAAAAGGGCTTTTTGTGACATCTTCTCAGTTCCTGCAGATGCATCCCTTTAAGAACCCATAGGACCACTGAGGAGAACGCACGTTTCCTGGAAGTCTGTTTTCCAGGAACATTAAATGAGTTGATCTGCTTTTACAACCAGATCACAAGTGCTCAGCGTTCAGCCTTCCACGACTAGCTGCTGCTCTCAGCAGTTTCTTCTGGCATTTGTGGTTCTGACGCAGAACAAAGTCAAAATTCGCTGTGGTGGACATGGCATAGAAAACGTTGGCGTTGTCTGGAATGAGCAGCTCTGGAAACAGAAAAACACTGGGTTAGGGTTACGGCTGCATTCCATTTTTGGGGGGATGTTGAAGAACATATTTCTGACAGACATCTTCACCTTTTTTCTGTGAGATGACCTGCGCCAGGGTGAAGTCCTGCCCCTTCATGTGCTCCAGGTGGTGCTTCTCCAGAGCCCTCTCAATCACCTGAGTGCTTTTTTCCTGGCTGGTCACCTGGAAAGAACAAAAACAATCACAAGAGTTGTTGAACAAACCTCAGCGAATAAGGAAGTCTGGCCTGGGAACGCCGCAGCGATTTCATTTAGCGTGGCTGAATCTGTAGAAGGAGTGACCACAGTAATATCTTTAAAGAGCCAGCAACGCCTGAATGAACGTATTACTGCTGTGCAGGTGGGTGTCTCATGGTGCTGCAGGCACGTGTGATCATTAGTGTGGCAGTTTAGTGCAACTTACTTTAAATGTAATATTTCAGCCCAAAACCATCATTCTGTCTCCATCTTCAGGTTCAATCTCTGCTCCACATTCATGTAGAACCAGCTGTGACCGATGTGACACGCTGGCGCTCTGAGCCGCTCACCTGCTCGAGGAAACGCCCTCCTCCCCTCATCATCTAATGGCCGCGGTTAACAGGAAATCCTCCAGAATGCTGCAGCATCTGTGTCTGCTCTTCTCCTGAGCGGTAAGTCTACTGAGAGTGCGTGCTCACGTGCACGCGCGAACGCGCATGCACTCGTTAACAACTCCGACAGCAGGGGGGTTGAGGGGGTGCGGCCTATCACTGCCTCAGTGCCGCTCTCTCGGTCCGCGAGGCGACGCCTCTTTCAGAAGCATTTTCCTAACAGGAAGTGTGGATGAAATACGTCTCCACCCATGCCTTGAGTCCCACTTTAAGGCCGTTTCTTAATACCCAAGTACACTAGTACCTTCTGTGTACTTGACAAGTACACTAGTACCTTCTGTGTACTTGACAAGTACACTAGTACCTTCTGTGTACTTGACAAGTACACTAGTACCTTTTGTGTAGGGCTGCTCGATTATGGCAAAAATAATAATCACGATTATGGTGACTGAAATTGAGATCACGATTATTTAGGACGATTTTTCAATTTATGTTGATTTTCTTTGTTTTTATTCAGTCATAAAACTGCTCAGGGCACAATCAGGACAAAAATAAGAAACAAGATGATCACTAAAAGAACTCCTGATTCCCAGGATAAAAAGACCAATATACTTATAGCTCATAGTCTATGACCCAAGGGCTATAGAACTTGGTTTAACTCATGTAAGTCTAACCAGTACAGACCCAAATACCAATATCTGGCAAATACTGACAGCAAGAATTATACAGTGGCATTTATAACAAATACATGCAAATAAACTGATGTTCACAAAATGTTGCATAACATTTATTGAGTCATGTCAAGGTGCTGTAGGAGAGTGCACTAGCACCGTGTCCTCAGAGAGGTTAGTTATTATTTATCAGTGTGAGGAACTTATTTCTACCTTATTTATAAACTATTTATTTACAGGTCGTCCATCAGTTAATGTAATAATTGTCCCAACCACAGCTGCACCCCCCACCCCCCAAACCGGTCTCACAGCAATCGGGGCAAGCTGCACGTGTGTTTAGCACGCCGCACGCGCACATTTAGCTGTTTTTAGCGGCTCAGGAGTCCGCAGGTGCGGTGTGTGTGTCACTCACTCTGGTTACTCCAACAGGGAGCCGGCTCCAAGAGCTGTTTCTTTAGCGACTGACACATCACTACATCATTCCCTTTCCTAATGTCCTGAAGAACGGTCCGGAGCGCAGGCGGAGTGTTTAGCTAACCTGCAGGAAACGTCGACGACAGTTATCCAGAAAGTAGCTAAGGGTTACCAGAGATGTTTCTGAGGTGTTCGCTAGGTACTTTTAAGTTAAAAAGTCAAGAAGGGGGTCTGAAAAGCTGCTAGAAATAGCGTCAAAGTCACTAAGTTGGCAACACTGTGGAGGAGCGCTTCATTTGTAACTCAGGGCAGCGCAAGCGGGAGGAGCAAATAATCGGCTTGTTTAGTTTTTTATAATCGTTCAAAACTCAGATCGTATTCGTGATTAAAATTCGATTAATTGAGCAGCCCTACTTTTGTGTACTTGACAAGTACACTAGTACCTTTTGTGTACTTGACAAGTACAGTGGTACCTTTTGTGTACTTGACAATTACAGTAGTAACTTTTGTGTACTTGACAAGTACAGTGGTACCTTTTGTGTACTTGACAAGTACACTAGTACCTTTTGTGTACTTGACAAGTACAGCAAAAAGTCCATTCTACCGAGTATGGGAGGACGAGGGCCGCTCTGTTTCGTCATGGCAGCAAGCATCGCTGCTTGTTAAACAAAACAACGTGACATAAAAATAAAAGTAAATAAAACAACAATGAATACATATTACTTGAATAAAATTTAGACCACTCTTGATTAAAATTGATAAAACACCAACATTTCCCCGTTAAATGAAGTCAAATGTTTCTTTTCATCAAAACAGATATTTAAAGTGCCACTGCTTTTATTTTGATAGTGGCTTAGCTCATTATAAATAATAAATCATTGAAAAACCCAAATACTCACAGCTAAATGTACACGTTACACACAGCTATTTACAATATCAGACAGCTTTATACTTCTTCCTTTGTATTTCTGATAAAAACACTACAGTACGAGCTTTCTCCTCAGCTGTTTGCAGTATAACGGTTTCCAGCGTCGCATTAGGGGAACCTTCCCTGTCCCCACTCTGCAGAACGCATTAATGCAACCGTGATACAACAGGCGGAGCAGGAACACATCTGAGAACTTTGAGTGAACTTGCCGCGATGCGTACGTAGGATTGGAAGCGTATTTGGGGCAGCGTTGATGAGGTTCCACAAGGACGCGAGTGCACAAGTACAGACCTGTACGCATTTAGAGAAACAGCCCCTGTTCTCAGATTATTTGTTATTATTAGACTTCTAATTGGAGCCATTTCAAGTGAGTATCCATAGCAACAAGGCACATACGGGGAGAACAGCTGACAAACACCTGAGAAAACCGGGGACAGGGACTCTATCCCAGACCAAGCACACGTGTGAGTATGAACTCACCAGGATGCTTTTGTACATGTTGCCATTGTCATGGCCCAGGTCCACACTGACCCTGATGATGCAGGAGTCGGTCCCCTGTCGGTTGTGCTCCGGCAGTGAGTTCATGGAGATGGAGCGTTTGTACTGACAGCCCAGAGAGGGTCCTGCTCTGTCAGGGCAGTGGTCCGTGCCACAGGGAGAGGAAGACTGTGGACAGGAAGCTTCAGAGGAAGAGGAGGAGGAAGAGACGGTATCGGGCATGTTGTTGCAGGAACTGTGGAACGACTGAGAAAGGAGAGGAGAGAAAAACAACAGAAACTGTTCACTAGAGCCGTCACAGGCATGAAGGAAGCCTCTGGAGCTCCCAGGATGTAACGATGGACTGGATCTGAGTGCTGCCTTCGACACCGTAGACCACACCGTTCTTTTAACCCGTCTAAAACAGATCTGCCTCTCTGGCGCTCTCCACAGATGTTCACATCCTACACCACACACCGCACTTTTACGGTGAGTTAGGACAGCTGTTCCTCGCGGGTCCATGGGATTACACGTGGTGTGCCCCAGGGTTCACCAGAAGCTTTGGTCAGGGCGAAGAACACCCAACAGTTGCATCAGATATTTTCTCCACTAGATCAACAACAGCCAGAGAAGTTCTCCGATCACGTCTAAAACCAGACTGCTGTTCACACAGAACATCACGATGCTCACTAAAGTCACAAAATCTTTTATGAAATAGGGTTTCTAGTATTTTGGAGAACTGAGATCAAATAGAAATGGTTTATAATTAGAAAAGTCATGTTGGTCTCCAGCCTTATAGACGGGAATGACTTCTGCAACCTTCATCCTTTCAGGAAGTCTTCCTGATGGAGAGGCTGGTTAGAAATACGAGTGAGTGGTTTGGCGATAGTCTCAGTGATTTCTTTTACCACAGACTTATCACATCCATGTAAATCTGCTGACTTTTCACTTTTCCATGTTTAACAAGTGTTATCTTCATTAGTGCCTTGAATAAATATGGTTTTATCTACATTTGTTATTTTACTCACAGCATCAGCATCTAATGTAGTATTTGATATATCCTTTG